GGGGGGGTCTCCTCGCTGCTACTTGCATTTGTTGTTTTGCATCTAGTTTTTGTTTCCTGAGGCCATGACCTGGGCGACGCTCAAGTCCTACCCCAAAAGGCCTCGCAAATCGCCCTAGGTGGCGACGCGTCTTCCCCCAAACTGGCACATCCCAGACATCGGCCCAGGACCTGGGGAAACACCCACCCCGCGCTCCTCCCCTCTCCCCCGGGGGTGTGTTTGCGAAATGTCCCTTAATAAACAGCCTCCTGCCCTAGCTGGTCTGTCTTGAGTAACACTGTGTTGCGTTCAGCTCTTTCTCTGCAACTCTCACCCTTTCGTGGGCTTGTCCCGAACGTTTTGAGATTCGATCTCTAGTTAAGCCCAGGACCTGGGGAAACACCCACCCCGCGCTCCTCCCCTCTCCCCCGGGGGTGTGTTTGCGAAATGTCCCTTAATAAACAGCCTCCTGCCCTAGCTGGTCTGTCTTGAGTAACACTGTGTTGCGTTCAGCTCTTTCTCTGCAACTCTCACCCTTTCGTGGGCTTGTCCCGAACGTTTTGAGATTCGATCTCTAGTTAATTGTAGTTAATTTTCTGCAGAGTTTAGGTTTATATGTAAACCATGGAACTTTGTGATTCTTACTTTTTGCACCCGCGGGATGCACTTCCAATGGTTAGAGCAGGTGTCCAGTAGCGAGGTGACTTCAATTCTGTTTTTCTTTTTGCCTCTCCTCTCTTTTTTGACTGTAGGAACATAATTATTTGTTTTCCCCATTCATAAAAATGAGGGTAATTTATGCTCCTTCATAAAGCATTTCAGCCTCTTTACAGTATATACTGCTCTCTCTTTCTCCCCAGAAACCTAAAATGTTTCATAATTGTCCCTCAAAGTTGTGACATTTTATAAATAGGTTAATATTTGTATTTTAGTTTTTATCTTCAAATGTAGTAGCTTCTAATATATTTTATTGCCCCCTGCAATGGCTCTGTTTTAAACTACATAAAACACAAGCAAGACTTCTTTATTTTTTTAAGTTCAAACAAAACCTCCTCTGCCAACCTATAGAAGTTCTGACCATTAATTCACATAGTGCATTTAACAGATTTAATTGTATAACACATTATATAGTCTAATGTCATCTGAATACTTTTCTGTCATTATCTGACTGGTTATATCAGTTTTCTTTATCCCTTAGCTTTGCCAAGGTTTAAAAAAAATGTGTTCGTAGGCTTCATTCCAAGTTCTGCTAGAGTCTCTTATCTGTTTAATGGAAAGGAGAAAACAAAACAAAAAAAACCTATTTTTTTTTTTTACATTTTCTGACTGCTTGGTGTTCACAATATTTTTTATATTGACAAAGTATCTTTGTATAACACATTTGATCTCAATTGATTCCAGATAACTTTGTAAACATAGGCCTCGATCCTGAGTTTCACTCAATTAAATGTGACACTGTATTGCTGCATGGGTCTATAATAATAGATTCATTTGCAGAATGGTGTTTTAAATTGATGATTAGTCTATACATAGGGACCACTTCACCCTAACACCAAAGGTATACAGAGCACAGCAACATAAAAATCACAAGAGACTAGAAGACACGTGATAAGTTATATTTTGACTCACTTTTTAGATAATCAGAAGGCAGAGGAAAGGAAGAAAGAGGCAACTAAATAAATGTATGTTTAATAATTAACAGTTTTTAATGGGAATGTACATGCTATTAATGTCAGGAAATAAACTTACAGTTTTTCATGGGCTGTCAGCAAATGTCTTCTTTGCAGGAAAAATGACCAGTGAACCATGTATTGTACACATTTAAAGTTCAGAGAACTCTCACATGATAAATTTCAGATCTGTGGTTTTTGTGTGAGGATTTCCTTCTAAACTTAATGTCAGTAGAGACATGTTCTTTAAATGTTTATGATGTTAATGAATGAAAATTGATTATTTTAAATTTTAAATTGCTGTATTTGCAACAAAAATATTGAAATATTGTGCTAGTGCATCAGAAGAAAGTGAACCCAATTCATTTTCATTGTCCAAGCAAAGTGAACTCGGAACCTGAAAAAAAGAGAATCACTCACGAAAAGCAACCTAGACTTGAAAATTGTTTTCAGTTTTAGTGATCTCAAATGTAACAGTGTGATACGTTAGAAAAATAAGGGTTTTTTTACTCATTTTACTGCCAGGTTTTTTTAACTGGAAAGTGTTGCTTTAAATCTCATATTTAAGACATACAGCAAAATGAAATAATAATTAAAAATGTTAAGCTGTAGTCAATGATCCAGAAAGTAGTTATTAATATTTTGATATAATACTTCTAAAAGTTTTCTATATTCTACAAATATGATTTGTCACTTTGGTGACATTATCTTCTGATACTTTCTGTCCTGCACTCTGAATTGTTGTCCATCTGTGTTCTCTGCCATTGAGATTTTGGATGCCTCGATTTAAAATATCACGATCACTTCTTTTCTGTGAAGTTCTTCATAGTTTTCAGAGGCATATTACTGTATCTCTGGCAAATCTCTCATTTCTCTTAGATCTAGACACTTGGTCTCTTTCACTGTCTGGTGCGCCAATTTTCTGGTGCATCATTCTCTCACTTCTCTACTCCACTCTGGGTCCTTAGAATATATTTTCAAAATATTGTATAGATATCTTCTCCCCAATTGTTTCTTGCAGGCAGAGATGAGCACATAAAACTCACCAGTCTCCCATGCTATTATTTCCTCTTCCATCTCTCAGACCATCTGTTGCACTCAACAGCCATGGAACCTTCAAGCCCTAAAGTGCCATCTGCTTCCTAAAGACCCCCTGTCCCTTCTTTCTCCATAAGTATTCATCTGCTCTTTCAATGGGACAGGCTCTAGAGAAGTCTGGATAACCAAAAGGGAGGCATATTATACTCTTCCCATATATCTTCTTGCCCCCTCTTTTGTATATTTAAGGACGTCTGCATGAAAACAAGAAAAGTTCCTTTTCTTAACAGTTCGTCTGTTCCTGCTCTTTGTTCCCTACCTCAAGTAGTAATATAAAACACCGTGGTATCAGTCATTTCCACAGCAACCAGTTGCTATTTCACAGAGGATGACGACTGGAGGAATCAACAGCAGGAACAGATGGACACTCAAGAAACAAATATTTTGTTTTCATGAAAATGACTTGATAACACAGAACAAGGGTAGTAAAGTGGAAGATCTTTAAAAACTTTCCGTGAGACTAACTTCTGCACTTTCGTCTTCCTTCAGTTTCTTTGGTCCTGGAGTTTGTGAAGTGGGACTTGAAGAACTGGTTTAAAGGACAAAGGTTAGCAAACCTATATTAGCATTTTTGTACACCCAGTCCTTTCTCTCCACTTCGGTTTTTATTTATCTTGAAAGCAACAGTGGATCTTGAGGTGCTTATGGTGTGTCCCTCTGAGCCCTGAATCAAATACAAAAAGGAGTTAAATCTGGCTTGTTTAATTTAATTTTTTTTTTAAAGTTTACTTCTCTGCCTAGAATTTCTTTTAACAAATTCAGGTGATTGAGTAAAGCTGGTATCTTCAAATGTCTCTCTCTGTTCTAGATAGAGCAGAAGTGATCCAGTTATTATGGTATTATCAGATGTGTTTTTTACTCTCTGACTATCAAATACTGACTCTTGTTAATTTCAAATGTACAGACATAATTTATAAAGGACCATAGGAGTGTGCACAGTGCTTTACAGACAAATATAAGATGTTATGTGTTCCAAAGTTTTTATTACAAACTAGGTTAAATAAGAAACAGTATAAGAATGTAGGCTTCAGAAACTATCTAACAAACCTTTAAAACCTATGCTGTATACCTCAGTGAGAGATTACAATGGACACACAAGTGCAAATGAGAGACTTGCACAATACATGCTCATAAGGTTACTTGTTTTCTTTTTATCATAGCTTAAAAATTACATTACAAATATAATTAATAATTCATTAATTCCTAATGGGGGATTGGATCCAAAAGAGAGCTTTGAAGGGGGTGCAGGACCAGAAGTATGGGACAGAAAGTACAAATGCTTTTGTGTGAGAAAAGATTTGAACTAAACTGGGTCACCTGAGGGCTCAAGTAAGGTGAAGGGACATATTGACAGGAACAGAACTTATTACATCCTGTTTTTCATCTGATTTCCCTCTTGAATTATAATCAAATCTGTTCTAAAAAGAAAAATATAGGCCTGAAAATTCATGCTCTGGATCCCCAAACATGTAAGGGTAAATGTTTTCCCCTACTTTCCTCCTAAAATATTAAACCAGTAATTAAGGCAGAATACCATATGAGTAACTTTTTGCTTCAGTCTTGAATTGTTATGTTATTGGGGTTCATTTAAACATGCATTATCTGAGCATGAAAACTAATGCTGCTACAGATTCTGATAGAAAGGATGCATTAAAACAATGAAATTGTTTTTTAAAGAGTAGTTTGGTCATTGTAGTTAGTGGAGTGTTTCCACCTATCCTATACTAAAGCATTTTTTAATGTATGGCAAACTGGTTTGCTGATGAGGGTAATGCTATGAAATGCTAGGAGTCAACCATGTGGAAAGGTAGTGTGCATTAAGGCACGGTAGTTCTGAACACTGAGCTGTCCTTCTGGGAATCCATGCAAAATGATGTAACTGAGTGAAAAGGCTCTATAGAAATAAATCTCTTCTCCTTCCCCATTTGTTCTGTTCTGATGTCATTGATGCAATATTTTAATTGGGCTCAGGCATGACACTTTCTTAGTCCTGCAGTGGAATTGCTTGGTATGAAAAGAACTCTGCGATAAAAGCTGGAAAGACTGAAATTTTGTTTTACAACTCCTCATGTGTGATTCAGCATCACTCAGGAAGCTGAGGTGACTTTTTTAGTACTTGTGGGGTAAGTTTTGCCGTGAGTTTATGAAAGGTTCTAGTTGCCTTTTCCAAATACTTAAATTCTGTGCACTTATGAAAGTTTTGGACAGACATTTTTCTGTCTCGTATGGATAGCTAAACATTTGTAGACTTTAAGCATCTTTGTGTCTGAGCTTTTCTTTTTTCATGTAAAATGCAATGGACTAATATTTAAATCGTTCTGTCTTGGTTAATTGTGACTGACTCAGTAGGTATATATTTGTTCTTGATTTTTGCATTAAAAATCAGAGTAGACTTTTGGTATTTGTATTGGATGGTAAAAGTATGTCTCTAATCCCTGAGATGGACATGTCTTGTGCCCATGCTGTCTCCATTCTGATAAGTGCTTTGGGATTCATATGTCATGGAAATCCCATACTAAGGTTTATGGCAGTTATGTTTTGGTAGAAAGAAATAAAAAGAGAGAGAATCCTATTGAGCAGATATACGTGACATGTTAACGTGAGCAGTCCAGAAGATGTGAGCTGTACTAACAACAAGAAGGTTCAGTTCCTCAGTAACATAATTGCTAGAAATATTTATTGCTCAATTCTACCCACCCCCAGGGCAGCAAGGATAGCAAGGGCAGATAGGAAAAAAGGATGATTTGAAATACATTGGGTTTTTAAATTTAAATTAAATACAGATTTTTTTTAAAAAATAAATCTAGTTGGTTAAATTTGAAATTGACAATCTATGTTAGGGTGTAAATCTATATAGTCAAATAATTTAAAATTAAATTTTAAAAAATTAAGCAGTACATTTGCTGCTGAGTTTCAGAGAAAGTCAGGCCACTGAACTGTAAGTTTGTTTTTAAGCATTTGGAGCCAAAATTTGTTGAAGTACTTGCTGCTAAACCAGTTTTTGACAGCATATTTTGCAGCTGAAAAAGAGGGGCTAATTTTTTAAATGTTAATTTATTCAGATAGTTTCATCAAAGATAAGAAGGAAAAAACAGGAAAGTTTGTCTTCCTCTCCCAATGTAATTAAAATTAGGTATGGGAAGATGAGGTCGACTGGTTCTAAAATTTTGAAGGACATGGTGATCAGAAATATTCGTATGTGTTCACTAACTGCAGATATTTCCTCTGTTTTAATAAGTCAGCTAGTTTCAAATGCAAAGCATTACTGATAAACTTTTTTCTTATGTAGCCAATGTATTTAAGATAGTCCTATTTAATAGCTAATGTTAAATGCTGTTTTTGTTTATGCATTTTGAATGAATTCCAATCAGCCTCCAAAAAGAGCTTGAGACAAATGACAACCAACATTTTTTTTAAATCATTTTCTAATAATCATTTGTCCATAAAATATAAATTAAGAATCCCAAATGTAAATTAAGGTGTATAATTGTTTAAATGTGTGTACATAGCATCCCATAGTTAGCAAAAAGTAGTATGAAATTTAGTATAAAGGCTATATTCAGTTGAAAATTAACATGTTTTAATTTTTACCAACCAGTAAGAATCAACCTGTCTTAATAACTAAAAAATATCAGCTCAAAACACATCTAAAATTGATTATTTAAATCATTCTATCCTGGTGTAAGGATTATTTCCATCCACCTTACTTTCCCAGACTCCTGGTAACCTGAATTAATGGATATTAAAAAAAAATCCTAGGAGTACTGAATGACCAGTGTATTCAATCTGAGCTGAAAGGCAGGACTGAAAAGAGCCTCTAGTTTTCTTGTAAACCTCACTGACTTCTAGAGTAAAGGAGTGATTTGGCTCTCCTGACATTGTCCTTAGTTAAACTCTTTTTCAGGATGTGTTCAGTCATTTGTGCCCTATACTGAATTTTGGGGAGAGCACATATGACTCAATGAATATATAAATGTTGCTGAATGTAACTGCTGTTTGGTAACATTTACAAGAAGATAGAGATGGAAACCAGTCTTAATTTCCAGCCTTGGATTGAGGGTGCTATTCAGTCAGCGCACTCAAAATTTTAAAATGTAGGTCAGCAGCTAGGCCATATGACAGACATTCAAGATAGCTTAACTACTAAAAAAGACTGCTTGATGACCATAATTTTTTTTCCTCTTTAAGTTTCAATTAGGGCAAGAATATAACAGTTTAATGCAAGTGGAATGTCTCTTTCTTTGTCTCATAGGATTCCAATTGGAAGGTTTTACTGGCCTTTGATCTGATTAATTCCTGAAGATGGCAAGTAAAGGGCCCACAACATCTACATCCACTGAAAACTCCAGTACTGGAGGGACCAGTGGCAGCAGCAGTAATGGTGCTGGGGACAATACTAATCAGGACAGCACTTTTGAATGCAACATCTGTTTAGACACTGCCAAGGATGCAGTTATCAGCCTGTGCGGGCACCTCTTCTGGTCAGTATACGTTTTTCCTTAGGTAGGACAGAATATGTGAGCCGTGGCAAACCACTTTTATCATCTGTGAACTGAGGCAGTAACAAGGCTAAATGTAGGATGCAATAGATAGTGGGGCATGTCAAAATACAAATGGGATTATGAACTTGGAATTGAATGCTGTAAATAGAAACTTGCTAACTTACTGTTTTGCCCCATAATCCATTTTCCGTTGAATAGGTGGTAGTTCAAGGCTGGTATTAGTCTCTTTTAAGTTTTGCTTTTTTGTAGTCCTCTGGTTTGTAATGCTAAAAACTGAATTGCACAGCCATGATGAATATAATTTTGGCAGAGCAATACTATTCTCAGTCATGCCTTCTGGCTTGCCACACACCCGCAGTTTAGTAACCTCAGTAACACCTCAGTAACCTGTCCAGACCTGGAACTGCTTTGCATCTTGTCCTTGGCTCTGGAGTCCAGATTATGAATTTTTAGGCAAATTGCATCCTTGCCACATGCTTCTTTTTGCAGCTAGTGCTGAGAGAAATGTGGAGAGCCCATTTTTCTTGGGAGATCATTTTTCTTTACCTTACCCATACCACCATGGTAATGACATTAGCTCTTTGGGTCCACCATCTGTCCAATTTGTGCAGATATCCCACAAACACAATGAAAATGTTAATCTTCCTATGTAACTTGTCCCAGTATGAGCATTAAAGTAGATTGCTCCACTTTCCCACAAAATATCAGTGGTCTGCAAATGATTTTCCCCCCTCAAATGTTTCTTTTTAAAA